CGCCGCCGCCTCGGGGAGGGCACGCTCCTCCCGGGCCCTCAGCCTCCCCCCCACTCCCAACCTGGCGGCAGGGTTCCTTTCTTATCTCCTTCCTCGACCTACAGGGCCCCCCTCGGTCTTTCAATTCCTCTCAGGGCCTCTTTCCCTCTCCCCCACCCACCTTCCTTAAAAGGAGGCGATCATAGACTATTCCCCCTTTTGCTAGGATGACCCCCACCCCAAGCAAACCTCGACCACCTATGGCTTTAAGAAATATTCCTTTTGCCCCTTACAGCACCCTGGCCGCTTACCCCAGACACTAGCTGACCTCAGTGGATTGGACCTATCGCTCCTCTCCCTCCTCCCCCTTCTCCTCCTTCTCCCCATCCTCCCTCCCCTTTCTCCTTACTCTCCCCCCTCCCGCTCCTCCTCCTCCTCTTCCTCCTCGCCTGTCCCAGGACGAGTGGTGCTGCCACTGGTGCCGCCGCCCGCGGCTGGGAGCCTTCTTAGCTGTCTTCTTCCGGTGCCCGCACTGACACCATCTGTCAACTTCATTTAGACATTGCAGCACTCAGCACGCCAGGGTGCCAGACGCCCAAAGGTAACGTGCCAGTCCTCTCTCTTTCAGACAGGACCTGCAGGCTCCACAATTGTTAGTAGAGGACGGGGCGAGGAGCCAGGGCGCCCTAGCGCCCCAGGGTTATGGCTTGGGGCAATCGTGAGCATTTGCTGAACTTTGAGAAGAGGGGTTTAGATAGAGAAAACTTTAGAGAAGCTGGAAGTCTGGTCGAATAAGACTCATTTTGCATTTGTTTGCACTTCCTTTGTGTTTTTCACTTGATGCTTTGTAAAAAATGCAAAAAGAAGGCTGGTGCTGAGTGAGATAAGTGAGATAGCTGTATTTATATTCCGTCCAGAACGGGGTGTGTTACTGCAACTAGATTTACATCCTCAGTCTCAAGTTGTCCACCAACACAATTATGGGGAAGGTATGTTTTCTGGGCGAATACACCGCCACAGTGTGGCTAATTCCTCTCTGAGTAAGAGTCTGCCTGGGAGAGAAGTTGTGCCCTGGGAGGAATTACTTCCCGTGAGACTGGACAGTTAGTTATTGGATTGCACGTGCAAGGAAATGTAGTCTGACCAGGAACAGAGGCTGGACATGGGAGGTGGAGAGCAGCGGGCCTGGGAGCTGGCCGGCCACACAAGGGCTGATGGGGGCGGTCAGGAGAGGGGGCACTGCAGAGGACCACATGGGAGGCAGGGCTGGGCACACCTCTGCCTCCACTCTGAAAGGACCAAGGTGCAAACCTGAGTGCTGGGAAACCTGGGGAAATGTTAGGTCAGGAGAAGGGGGAGTTGTGCTGAGATCCTGTGAATGGTGGGCAGCAAAGAGCCTTGGGTGGAACAGAACCAAACCAGGCCTCTTGGGGCTGGCATTAGCTATCTGTGCCCCTAGAGTGCCTGGGGGACTGCTCCTGGCTGAGTGTGCCAGTGGGGCTGTAGAAAAGAAGAGTGGGAAGGGTGGGAGGGGGAGGCTGGGGGTGGGGCTGGGTCTGGCCCCAGACAGTGACCTGAAGTTGAGTGGAAGCAGGCTTTTTCCATCAAACCCTGCCTGGATACCACACACAGAGACTGAGTGTCAGTTTACTGCCTTGAGCCGGGCTCCTTTTCCCTAAGCTCCACAGTAATTAGACAAAGAAAACCTAAATTAGTTGAACAGGCGTCGACAGCTTCCTCCAGAGCACCCCTGGTACCTACATGGGAATGTGTCCGAAAATGGCTTGATTGTAGCCCAGAGTCAGCTAAGAAAACATGGCCAAAATGAACTCAGTTTACCGCCCATTTCCAATAGAAAAAAGAAACAAGTCGTTCTTTTCCGGATGGGATGTTTTGATTGAGTTGGGGTAGGGGTTTGCAGTAGTTTCCACTTCTAAGAATTTCTTTCTGAGTGACTGGAGAGCAGTTTTTGTGTGTGTTTGTTTTGTTTATTTTATTTTTTTTAGGGGTGGGTCCCTATTTATTTTATAGCTTTTTCCTCTTATCTTCTTTGTGTCATTTTGCATGGAATAATTTAAATATAAGTAATTAAATATAGAAGTGAATATAGTGTGTTCACTAAATCAATGCTTTAAGTGTCTGAAAAATAAATAAAATAGCAAGTGGAGTCAGGACTGATAATATTAAAGGCGCTCCTCTCTCTCTCTCTCTCTCTCTCTCTCTCTCTCTCTCTGTGTGTGTGTGTGTGTGTGTGTGTGTGTGTGTGTGTGTGTGTTGGGAAGATAATTGGCCAGAAGCCTAGAAAGAAAGAAGGCAATTATTTCATTTGTAGATGGGGTGGTGGGCAATGGATTTGGGGGAAAATTCAGCAAGTGAATATCACTGTCACTAGACCCTCTCTGACGTTCTGCACTTGGAGGATTCTATGTACTTTGGCTGTTAGGCCCTAAAAGGTTTTAAGACCCAGAGACTGAACCATAAATAGCATCAAACCTAAAATCCAGTCAGGGCTTGGAATAACCTTGTATACCAGTAGTTTCTAGTTTGGGGGTCAGGAGTCTTTTTGAAAACATGATGGAAGCTTTGGAGCCTATTCTCAGAATACTCCCATTTTGCCAGTGATATTGGGGGGGGTCCACAGATACTCTTTAAGACAAACATACAAACACCTGCTCTACACATTGTTAGTTTCTACCAATTCAAATGGGTAAATTATCAGGGATTTTTAAAGGCTCCCTTCCTCATTCAAGTGACAGTGGTATCTATTTCTCTAAACGTGCAAGAAATGCCACTTATAGTTTGATGGGTATTACAGGATGCTAGACAAGTCCTGGAAGGACAATGGACAAGAGCAGTGAGAGCCCCAGCCAGGAGCAGGTCAGCTGACCTAGAGCCTTTCTCTTCCTAGGGGTCTCAATATCGCCCTGCACTCCAAAAAGATAAAAAGGTTGGTGATCTTCTGAGCAGGAAAGGGCTCTTTGTCAAAACTCTCTCAGAGATCCTATTTCTGCCTGTTGAAACTGTGCCCCTGGCAGAGACCCCCACATCTATAAAGACTAAATCCCTGCATTTGTTCCTTATAGACTTCACAGGTACATGCTTTTCTACTCACATCATGGCACTGGCACATGATCCTCATCCACCCTTTAGAGGTAAGGAAACTGAGGCTTAGAAAGACCAGCTGATTACCTGAAAGTCACACTTGAGCAAGTGACAAAGGAACCTGTAGCACAGGCCCAGGTGTCCACTCCCATTCTGCTTCTACTACATCACAGCAAAACCTCTCTGAACTTTGTTTTAATTACCAATTTATACAAACCTCCTGGGTAAGAATGCCTGTGGTAACAAATTATGTCAAATTCTTTATCCCTGGCAAGAAGAATATCTCAATTTCTGCTTAGCAGATGGTTTAAAGGGAAGTCATGTTTGTCTCTGGAACAGAGATAAAGCATCCTTGCTTAGGATGCTTCCCTCTCTGAGTCCCTTCTTATGGTCGTGAGATCTTCCGGACCGACCCTCACCTCTTTACAAACAAAAGCCTTGATTTCTTTTTCTTAGGGAAGGAAAGGTATGGGTCCTTAAAGTGAGTATAGATCAGCCCAGGCGCTCCTTGGTTAACCAGAGATACACGGTCTCAGTGCAGCTGGTCCCCTCTCCCAACCCGTGCTCTTCCTCCCCTTTGGCGACTGTCCGGGACTGGACTGGAAGTTCCTTACCAGCTCCAAACCCCAAAGGCCCACCTCTGCTCATGTGCAGGGGAGAGTAAACTTCGGGATGCTTGGTTTTCTCCGATTTTGTTTTGCAATCAGCATTTTATTCTAGGAAATCTTCATTATTGCGGTTTAAATTTTGTGTTTTTAGCATGCTTCCCGTGCTTCGTGGGTTTTACATGAAAGGGCTTAGACTAAACCAGTAACCCACCAGAGACGCATCTGCACCAAGGCTGTTTACTGCATCTATGAACTCGCCTCCATTGGGCACTGCTTCTTCTTGCCCCTCCCTTTCTTCCACCAGCCAGGCCAGAGCAAAGTCTCTTCTCAATTCAGTTTGAAACCACTCTGTTCACCCTGTGTTTTGATACAAAGTTAACGTTTGTAGAGGATTCTTAACTCCCGGGAGGACTTTCTACTTGGGGAATGTGGGGATTCAGTGCTGAGGTCTAGGGGGTGTCAACTGTTTGAAGAAACC